GGCCTACTTTATCCATACCAACATCTCTTTTTCAACGTCATCGCCCATACTTCTCCCGCAGCGAGCACCCTTTTGCAACGACGCTGCCAACCGACCCCAAGGCTACCTCCTCACCGCTACAATGGACGAAGACGACTCCCTCGCAATCGACCCCGAAATGGCAGCCTTCATGGGTTTCGCCTCCTTCGGGACCCAGCCCGCCGCCAAGAAGCGCAAATACAACCACCGCACCGACGCCGTCTCCTCCGCGACAGGCGCAAACCAGACTGCACTCGCCCCTCGCGCTCCGCGCCCCGCTCCATCAACGACAACGACGACGACGACCGAGATTGCTGCCGCGCCCGCCGCCAACGCCGATGAGATAGCCCTCGACCATGACGACGAAGACGACGGAACCGTTGCTGCGGTCGCCGCTGGTGCTGCCGCCGGAGAAGACTTGGACGCAGAGGAAGGCGGCGCAAGTCTCTACTCGGACCCAACCGTCGCACCCGCGCTCGCCCACGCGCAGAGTCTGATAGACCAACTCGCCAGCCGGGGTGCGGCACCAGAAGACGGAACCTCGGCGCCGCAAGCACAGAGCACGACTTCCTCTTCCCTCCCAACACCATCGGCTCTGCCCCAGCGGCCTGACGCCTCGTGGGGTAAGGAGATGGGATCCGCTCCGACGACGATGCCGACGAGAGAACGCCCCGAGCAGCACCAGCACCAGCACCAGCACCAACACCAGCGTGGTGGTCGCGCGGGGTACCAGCAGCAACAGAGGAATGATGGCAAGCCTTGGTGGGAGGGTTACTACGACCCCGCGTCCAATGAGAACCCATGGGAAAAGCTTGAGAAGAAGGCTGGGGTTCTGTCCAAGGGGACTTGGGTAGCGAGGGGTACCCAAGCTCAGACGGCTTGATAAAACGTCGACGGGACTACCGATGTTCGATATTGGATGGGTTGACACCTGAGAGGCGCGTGGAGCATGGCATCGAGTGTGAGGTCAACATATATCGACATGCTTACCTCACCTCCGACTGGATGCCTTCTCAACCATGCGACTTGGCATATCGACATGCCACACACCGACGACCTCACCGACCACGTCACGTGATATCACTGGCTGGCTGAGCACATGCTAGGGGGGGAAACATCATGGTCCATTCATCACCTGATATATCACTGGATATATGGAACCCCCCCAGCTGGGCCAAGGCCTGGGGGATCGTTACGGTGGCATTACGGAGGCCCCGGGATCACGACGGTACTGTTACGGTGGACATATCGTGGACCAGCAGCCCGGCAAAGGGCCACCACGACCGAACAAGAAGAGATTATGATATGACTATGGATCCCGAGACGGAGAAACACCCTGTCGTCGCTACAGAACCACCGAGGGGTCAGAGGAACATGACCCACGTCCAGCTCCCCGTCGCTATCCTTCCCGAAAGAGCAATATCCCACCGCCCCGAAGAGGACAAGCGCCTCCAAACAGATTGCCAACAATTTTGTACCCTCACTTTGGGCCTGGTCTCCCTGTCTCCCGTCCCCTCCCTCCCCGTCTGTCTCCACCGAGCCGTTCTACCGGCCTACAGACCCTTCCAACGACTACTGCAGCCCCCGGGCTACTTGGCCTTGGCCCCGTCGTCCTCGGAAGGAGGGGGTGAGGCGTACTTTTAACAACATAGCCGCCCCAAATCATTTTTCCATTCATCCAATCATGTCTCATAATCGTCTCGTGCAACAAAAACATCCCCCTCTCACTCTCAAGGCAAAAGCTCAAAAGAAGGTCGGTCGGAACCCCACAGCAGCCCTACGTCTGCCAAATCTGGGGAAAACTGCCCAGGGCATGTACGTGTGTGTGGAGAGGTTTACCGGGCGCTTGGGAATGATGTTTCCCCATCCAACCCACTCTCACTCGACCCTGCTCCAGCTCGCAGCTCGCAGGTCCGCCGCCCTGCCCGTCGCAAAAGCAGCGTGAGATGGGCGGCTAGGCGGGCCCCCCCATGCTCGCCCCGCGCCGTGCCGCTGCGCGTCAAGCCGTCCCGGCTGTCAGGTTCGCCTAGGGCCCCTGTCTCCTCTCTTCCCCTCCCTTGCTTGCCAGCCCAATATGTACCCAAGAAAAAAATGGTAGTAAGTAAACAAGCGGAGATGGAGGGAGGCGTGCGCTCATCCAAAGAAAATCAAATGCAAAGTAAATCTCCGGGAATCTGGTATCTTCGTTCCTGCAGTTTTGTCGGCAGGGATGTATGTATGTCGTGCGTTTTTGTGTGGTGTGGTGGTAGTGGTAGTAGCAATGGTGGTGGTGGTGACGGCAGGCTGGAACTTTTTTCTTTTGGTCGCAGTTGAAAATGGCACGCTGGAAAAAAAAAAAACACAAGGCTGAAAAAGGAGAAGCTCGCTGCTTGCTTTCAACGTCGTCGGTATCGCGCGGCTGAGAAGCTTTCGCAATTCAAATCCGCAGCAAACACCCAGAAAACCAGAGGAAATTCTCTAATACTCGGGCGACGGGTAGCGAGCGCGGGCCTTGCTGTACTCCTTGGTGTGCTTGCGAGAAGTCTTGCTCTTGAGTGATCTGCACAAAAAGAGGTCCGCGTGTTAGCCGCAATGTCTCAGATCTCGCAGATTTCCCCCCCCGAAAGATTTCCTTTTCCGACGCCAATGTTGTAGTCGCGCAATTCAATCGGGGACCAGCAATCCGGTTCAGATATTTCCCCACTGGTTCGCGGGGAAATCTTCTGGGATTGCATACTGCAGGACCGCAGATTTGTCTCTCCCCTTGCAACTTTTCGGAGTCCCGGAAGAGGCAATGGAGAGTGAAAAAAGGGTGCGACTTACGAGACTTTCTTCTGCGTCCACTCGAGGTCCGCGCGCACGTCCTGAGCGTCGCGGTAACCCTCGTTGAAGCGCTCGCGCGTCTTTGCGAGACGAGCTTGCGCCTTCTTTTGCAGCTCCAGCAGCTCACGGTGCTTTGCGTTGAGCTTTCCGGATCTATTTTTTGCGTTGCCTCTCGTTAGCCTCTTTGTTCTGTTTCGCCGCCGCCGCCGCATGAAGGGATCAACTTACGTTTGCGCCTGGACCGCAATGTTGCGGTCGAGAGGAATGGGGTCAAAGGTCTGGGCGAAGCGGTCCTGCATGTAGTCGTTGAAGTCGACACCGCTGGCCGAGTGGTGGGTGCTCTCGTAGTCGCCGCTGTTGCTTCCGGCGTAGCTGGAGTTGGCCACCGAGTAGCCGCCAGAGTAGCCGCTGTTGCTGTATGATGGACCGGTGCCAGAGCTGACGGACTCATCTGTCTCTGGAGGCGATACAGAGTAGGTGCTGCTGTAGCTTGGGTAGTGTTGGCCCTTGTGGGAGGGGACGGGCAAAGGGAGGGTGTAGTGGGAGTTGTAGTGGGAAGACATGATGGGCGGAGGAAGAGGTGGAGGCCGGCAGTTGACGATAGAGGCGTGACGTGTACTTTGTGTGTACGATGTGGGAACCTATTTGAAGCAAACAAGGGATGACTAAGTCCAAGTGTTGACTGGGGATGGCGGCACTCTGTGAGACAGAGTCAAGTGTGCAAGGAAGTTGCTTGTTGGGCAAAGAAGAGAACTTGGAGAGAGCTATAGGGAAGCTTGAAGATAGTCCAGGAATCTGATGATGAGAAAGGAAGAAGAAGTGAATAAAATCAAGCCGCTCAAGTTGTGCCCTTTTATACTTTTCCGAAACCCTCCTCGGACTCCATATTCTTCGTCTGTTTGGAAGGGGGATAAGACATCAAGCCTCGATTCGTCCGATGACAAGCCGTGGCTTCATCGTTAACCGGGTCTCCTTCCGCGGAAGGGGGAACAGACGGAATGGTCCAAGGGCATGATGTGATGGGATGATGAGAGAGAGAGCGCGGCCAAAAGGGTCGCAGACAACAACGTCCACCATGGACATGGCCATGGACATTGACATTGACAAGGACCATGATGAGCGGCAGCCGGTCGACCTGTCTGGGCCTGGTCTAGCCTGTGCGTTAGTGTCAGGGAAGTGGCATAGACTAAACCCTGTCTTCACCCGCAACGCTTGTTGATGTGGATATATGGGCCGTGGAGAAAGAGAGGAGACAAAAGTGAAAAAGAGAGAGAGAGATCCAACGACGATGAGGCGTTTGGATGTTGAGGGTGTGGGCATTGGAAGGGGTGGCAGCCGGACGGTGGTGGGCGGGTGATGGACAGAGCCATTGGCCAACCAAGGAGAAGGAGGGAAAGCAGATTGCTACTATGTCTGCATGCCGCGTTTCCTATTTCTCAAGAGGAAAGTAAAAATGATGGAAAAAACGCGGCAAGTATCAAAGGCAAAGAAGTGGACGGAGAGAGAGAGCAAGGGAGCAAGAGGTGTCTGCATATGCCGAGGGAGGCGACTATCACAAGTGGGATTGGTGGAGATAGTCCACGATGGGGTGGATGGGGGTGGGCAGACCGGAACGGGTAAAGGATCTAATATCTCTGAGAGTCTGCGGGATATCCAGACGAAATATGCCAAATACTTTGGTAGCCAGGGTCGATACTGACAGAGAAACGAGAGGAGAGAACAGTAAACTCAAGGGGGCACGGACTTGGCCGACGCAGGTTGGCAAGCTGCAAAAGAGTGGGATGGGAGGGCAAAAGAGACAAAGACAAGACCAGACACACGGAGAAGAATGTAGGTATGTGGGTTCAAGCAAAGGCAGAAGAAGGAAAAAAAAATGATGCATGTCGTGTAAAACGGCGAACCAAGAGACATGCAGTTCCAGACATTGCCGAACCACCCACCTGATGACAAGGGAGGTACAACCTCGAAAGTATTTCCGCACTACCTTACTCATTTTTACCGATTAGAGGCAAGGATGGAATGGCTGCAACCTGCAAGCCAGGGGCATGGGGCTCTGTGGGCAGGGACGGACGCCTTCAGTCCACGTCCATGGCGTGGAGGGTTCCTTCATCAACCTTGGCCCGTATGGTTTGTGGTTGCTTGGGGTGGCCCACCCTCCTCCTCCTCCTCCATCCCTCCCTCCCTTCCGTCCACGCCCGTGCGGTGTCAAGAAGGATAGAAGGTGCTTTAGCTCCAAAAGGGGCCGAGGCGTGTGAAAGAAGGTGTGGGTGTAAGAGGTGTGTGTAGAATCTAGAAGTGTACGCAGAAGAGTCCGGAAGGCAAACAGTACGTTCATTTGGTCGATGGCAGTCACACACCCCTCCCCCCGGGAATCCAACGACGACGTCTTCTTCTGGCGGACAGGACACACACGCCATGGCCGTAGATGGGAGGTAAAAGAGGACGTATGACGGAGGGCCATGCGGGTCGTATGTGTTCTATCGATCCAGTCAGACGCAAGCCGAACCGGCCTTTCAAGCGTCCGGAGAGGGGCCATAGTATGGTCCTGATTCGTGACGGATGCGGTGTCGAGGGGAAGGAGGAGGAAGAGGAAGAGGAGGGCGGTCAAACGGATACACGCCAGAGATGGAGACGAAGGCAACTTGGGGCAAGTTGAACGATGGGCAGACGTCAGGACGATTAGGGAAAGCCGGGACTACGGGGAAACGAGACGGGGCCCGCCGTTGATCGAAACTCTGATCCAACGAGCGTGCCGGGCTAACGAGGGTGAGGATGGGTTGGGATGAAAGGGGATAGGACAGGATAGGGTGAATATCGAGAGCTAAGAAGTTTGGATAGGGCAGGGCAGGGCGGGATGGAGAACAGGCCAGCAAGAGATTGGGAGAACAAGACCAGAATGGAATGGGAATGTAACGGGGCAAAGACCGGCCGGGGGCCAGGAAGAGGGGACACTTCTCCTCTTCCTTTGCTGTTCGTTCGCAATTGCGAACGAACCTGGCGTTCCTCGAGGTATCTTCCAACCCGAGGTATATCGTCTTTGATGTGGACGTCTTCAACGACACCACGAGGCAATGCTCAGGCACGACGGTACAATACAAGATATGGACAATGCGATACATGTACCGAGCATGCAAGCCAAGCAACTCCTCACAGACTTTGAATCAAAAGCAGCGTGGGATTGTCCATTCCCACGCAGCTCGTGTCGTCGCCTCGTTGGACTGAGGGAGCCACCTTCTTGATAGAACCGGGGACGGGTGTGGACTGCGGGATAAAGAAGTGCCCCCCAACTGTTGATCGTTTCTTGGGCAGGAAAAGAGTTCCCCCAGTTAGAAGTATCTGTAGGTACTATAGCCTCTTGAAACGGTCATGTTGCCGTTTACTAATGTGCGAATGCGACTGGAGAGTAATGAAAGGTATTCGTTCTGTGATTTAACCCTGGCGTCAGGTCAGGCAGAAGTGCAGTAGATTCGGGCATTTTATGTGGTGATGCGTTGTCAAGATGGGAGCCCCCAGAATATAATATATTTTTTTGGTTTATTCCATTTAAGTGTTATTTTTATTTATTTTATTTTGTTGTACCTACCTCGCTCCCCTGCAAGTACCTTTTCCCCTTTTCGACTTCAACTTAGTTTATTCCGGCTTTTTATCATTGGTCGGGACTTCTCGTCGCCCCCATTGGGTTTCTCAGAGTCCTTTTGCTCCCTCTCCCGAGTCTTCCCCTCCCATTCTCTCTCACACCGTCTACTTTTGCCGCTTCTGATTGACTCGAATCATTATCATTTTTCAGAGTTTTGATTGGTGCAAAAGGACGGACGACTTCCAGAATCTACCTGAACTGGATACCTCCCCAGGGCTCCGGCAGGGCTCATCATCAACCCCTGTAATCCCACCCTATGACCCTGGCACGCCTGGCTCCGTCCAAGATGCACTCAAAGATGCAGAGTCTAGAGACGTTTTTGACGGGGGGGTGTGACGGGCAGCAACTGGTCGGCTTAAATCGACATATTTTCACAATGTTCCATTGGCGATGAATGTTGAAAAGCGGCGCCGACTCAAGTGCAAATTCGCCCCCGCCGAACTTCCATCACCGATGCGAGGATTCCCTCTTCCCTTCTCCCATCTATCTGGTTTTGTCTCTGTTTCTTTGCGTGTCTTCCTCTCCTCAAGGCCCCTCAAGGGTGGGGGTGTGAGTGCATCTACGAGAGGCCCCCATCATACGCAGGAGCAACAGCATGTATGTGAGGCATGTATGTATGCGCAAAGGCGGAGCTTCCTCTACGAGATGCATCGCATGTGATCTCTGGAAACGAAATTGCGGTTCTTGAGAATACCAGGCATGCTCTTTTGAGAAAATGTATGTTGTGCTTTGCTTTGCGTTGCTCTGCGTTGCTTGCGCGTTGCGTTGGGAAGTGTAAGAACGCGGGCAACCTGGGCAGATCTTACATCCGCAGTTCCAAGAGCGGCGGTGTAAGTGAGTGGCCTCCGATCCCCCTCCCCCTCCCAAGTTTTCCGTCGTCATCGTCAGCCGGTAACGGTTGACAAAGTTGGTTCCAATTTGCACCCGCAGAGTTGAGTGAGCCGAGAGAGTATCCGGACTAGCACCGAGAAGTGAGAGTGAGTTGAGAGGCAGCCCAAAGTCGACCTTATACGCAAAGGTACCCAAAGAGACCCCGAAACAGCCCAATCGAAAGGGACGCTTCATCATCATCATCATCAACCCAACGACCTCACAAAAGCCTACCTGCACTTCTGTCTGCCTAATGTCATGAGTTGCAGAAGGGAAAAGAGTACAATCAAATGACGGCGTGCCCTTTTCCGATCTGATCTAGCGGCGCATTGGCTTCGCGTCACCCCATTGCCTAGGCATGCGTCTGCTGCTGTGGGCATCTCTTCCTCTTCTTTTTTCTGCTGCCCGTGTGGATCTGCAAATTCCGTGCGCCGTGTGCTACGATACGATACGCCGTAAACTTAGATGGGCACCTGAACATTGACTTTTTTTTTTTTTCGGTTGATTTACTCTTCGGGTAGTTGTTAGGAATCGGCAAACTGGGTTCCATGTACCGGGGGTGGAACCTCAAATGCAACAATGATGATGAGCATGGCAAGGCAGCCAACAAGGCATTCCTGTTTACCTGGCTACATGATACATAGGATACCTGTTTTCAACCGACTGGTCTCCAAAGTATCAAGTATCCAAGCTCTCCAACGTAAAGTCGGCTCTCACTCGTCTCCCGTGTGAGTAGGATCGTCAGGTTGAAGACATGCAATGCCATACGGCGTGCTGCATGGGGATTGATGCGGGCGTGACAGGCAAAAACGGCCACTGCTCACTGAGTGATCAATTCAGTTCCGGTCCATAAATCTGCTCAACGCAAACGGGCTGCCGTGATCCATGGCATGGCCAACTGTTTCCCTCCCCCTCCTCATCTTTATAACCCACGGTTCGCTGGGCTGCCTCTTCGTCCCTCCTCGACACCGGCAAGGACCCGAGATGCCTCACGCAAGGTGTCCCCCGGATGACGAACGGCGTTCTGGAACACCCCGAGCGGTGGTTTGTGAATGGAGGGGGATACGGGCTTGCATGAGAGAGATGCCCCCTTTTGCCGGGGATTACCCCGGGAGCCATCTGACGGTTGAACTTACCGCATGGCAGGAAGAAGAAGAAAAATAGAAAGAAAATCGTAGCATACTGGCGCGCGAGCAGAAAATTTTCGGGTCTAGAGGGACGAAGGGAGGCCCATGGCTTGCCCGGGTCTCGAGCCGGAGCCGGTCCAGGAGGTCCAGGATTTTTCTTGGTGCGGAATGTGTCAATGGGGGGAAAAGGAGGGGGAGGGGCAATGAATGGCTCGTCTCTCTCTATCTGTACGCAGACACTCACTCCAACGGCACTCCCATGAGTCCCATCCAGACAGGCACACCTTGGACAGTTTGCTCGCCAAAATACCTAGAGACTTTGAGAAGCCGGCACGTCCTCGCAGACGACCATTCTCGAACTCGACTAGCCGGCTAGTGTTGCAGTAGGGACTTTGAATGACAGTCATGGCGCCAATAGTCACGTTGGGGCGGTAGTCGCCAAAGGTTAAGGTGATGTATGAGCTATCCAGGCCAGGCTAGGTAGTGTACCTACCCCAGTCCCAGCAAGGGTCAGGAAATGTGAGGTATCGCCCATAGGTCGAGATCTCATCTGGTGATGGACACGGGGGCCTTGGGGTTTGCATGGGGGACGACTGGGTAAGTGGTAGAGTGAGTGTAAGAGAGCCAATGCTTCGGTTGTGAGGCTCGAACCCCCTCCATCCTCCATCCGGCGTACGCCACCAAAAAGGTTTGTGAGTGAATCGGAAGAGGGACCGCAGGCACTGACCACCGAGAGGTGAATTTCCTGTGTTCGCCCGTCACCGATTCCGAGCTTCCGTTCGGGGTTGGGCGCTTGGTGGTAACGGGCGTGGAGTGTTGAAGTTGATGTGAGACTGAAGGAGACAGAATCTCACTAAGAGGCTACATGAGATGAGACTGAGCGATGACGACCGCTGATCTGACGGGTGAAACGAGAAAACGGTCTGTGCCACGGAAAACGTGCCCACCAAACCTTCTTTTTTTTTCACTCTTCTTAAACCATTGCGCTTCTAGATTCTTTTTCTTCGGACTTTTTTGAGACTTATCAAACTCCCGAGTTGCGAAGGAAAATGGGGTGACATTGTAAATTCGAAAAGTTGAACACGGGACTCCGAACCAACACCGCAATCGCCAGTGCCCCTTTGTTCCCCTCCTACACCAATGGGGCAAGGTATGGATATGTCATGTCTTCCAGGGGGTCGGGCGGCGGCCACATGGGCACAAGGCGTATCTCAAAGAGACAGACACACGAGGGGTGTGGTGGTGGAAGGGACAGGCCATACGCAACATCGCACATCCGCCTCTCACCTACCCGAGACCATCGCTGGCTTTTTTTTTTTGCGCCCTGCTGCCCTTCTTCTCATGCTGCGCGGTAACATGCCATGGCATGAACCGGGAAACGTGAGGAGCGGAGATGCAGATGCAGTCAAACAGGGCTGCTTGATGATGGGGCACCACCTTACTGGATAACGAGCCGTTGGTCCATGACTTGAAAGAGAAAAGGGCGAGCTGTCAACTCCCAATCAACACCTTTCCTCGATCGCCCTTCACGTATTTCTTTGGAGACCAGTCGACGTTACATTGTCGTTTGTATCTCCCCAATCCCCCAATGCCCCATGTCACTACTCACTCGCCTCCCATCGACGCCATCCGAGAGCCATCGCCCATCCTGCAGATACACTCGCATGCCCCTCTGCATCTCCCAACTCTCACGCGTTTCTCACCTGTCAGTCGTGAACAGAATTCTCTAATCAAATCATTCATTCTCAGCCCAGGCCAAGATTTCTTCTGCGCCATAAAATGTGTTCGAGCCTCAAATGCACAACGTAAGTGTGAGAATGCCAATTACAGCCACGTAAACGCCTTCTGTATGTAAGTAAAGTCGTGTCATGTAGCATGAGAACGAGGATGAGAAGAAGGGGAAGCACAGCGCAGCGCCGGCACTGCAGTACCGCATGGTGTTCTGTATCCTGCACGGATCGACCGTCGTGTAAGGTCAAATCTATAATCAGGCCGACGGTTCAAAAAAGTCTGGTGTGTGATGTGTTTTATGTTTCCTCCCAAGCCGCTTGTATCCGCGCAATCCCCAACGTCTCACGCATCTCCCTCTCACACACGCCTGAGCTCGCTCTCGTGTCGTGTCGCCCGTCAATCCCGCCTCGTATATGTTCCTTCTTGTAAAACTTCAAAGGCCACGCTACCTATATGCTGTGCTCATCCTACCTCGGAAAATATACCAATGGCCGAACCTACGATGCCACTCGGTGAGGATGACAAGGCAAGGCAAAAACATAAGCACAAGCAGCCCTTGAACGAAAGATCCGAAAGCTGCACGACATCGCCCAGCCAACGCAGCTGCCCGCATCAAACAAGCCAGACCGTCAGCCCAGTTTCCACTCAGCCCCAATTCCGGAATGGAACACTCTGGGACGAAGGCGATGATGATGATGTATCTGCTCTTTTGCTGATGATAATTGTGCCCGCAGTGTGACGAAAGCGCGATGTGACGATGATCGTAGAAAATCACATATCATACTCATCTTTCATAGATAGGGCTAATCTCACGCACACAGACGCCCACCCACCATTCACTCACGGCTTCTGCGACTTCAAATCGGCAGGCCAAGACGCAAAGCTCAAACTCACAAGTTGCACCAAGAAGGTCGATCCTTTTCTCTGCCATTCCCTACCACGACGCTAAGGCAGTGACGATGTTTGACCGCTCTGATGGTTCCCCAATCCTTTTTGACAAGAAACCTCCTTCTTCGGGGCCTTGTCCTTGTACTCGGTGTCATCGCGCGAGAAAAGATGCATGTCAGATGGGTGAAAAAGTGAGGGGTCGAACGGAGACGGAGACGACGAGAGGGAGGGGGGCGCAAAGCAAAAGTAGGGCCAAAATC